ACATATACTCTATGGAATACTACTCAGCCATAAAAAATAACAAGACCCTGGCATTTGATAGAAAGTGGTCAGATATGGAGGATCTATTGCTGAGTGAAGTAAGCCAGGCTATGAAAGAAAGATATTGTATGTATCCACTCAATATATACCGACTATCCGCACTCTATGGTAGAGAGCAAAAAATTGGAGGACATAAAAGATCTACAAGTAATATACCGACTATCCGCACTCTATGGTAGAGAGCAAAATATTGGAGAACATATAAGCAGTGAAAGTACTTAACGAGAATAAGACAGTGTGAAAAGGGGGCGGTGAAGAGAAGAGGACAGAGAAAGATAGCAAGAGAACAAATAGAGAGGCAGGACGTTAGTGAGAAACAGATATGGCTTATTACCTGTTGATGATGACATGTCTAATATTCTCAACTGGATTGGTCTGAGAAGTATTTCATGATGGGTAAAGTCTTTTTACAAGCAAAATGAGAAATAGTGATTGACGATTGGGAAAAACATAGAAAAGTTATTGAATGATGAAGCGGGGAGATTAATGTCTCTGTATTGACTGACATGCATGGTATTCCCTTTTGAAAAAGCAATGTATTACACTATAAAGTTATATGTAATCCAATGTAATATAAAGAAGATTATGATGATAATAAAAATAAAAATTAAAAAAAAGATGATATAGTAAAACAAAACAAAACAAAACAAAACAAAAAAACAAAAAAAGACCAGACTTTAGTGATGAAAATCAGATCACTCTCTGATGGGGGGAGGTAACTAACTGTTAAAGGAAAGCACTAGGCAGTATTTTGTCGGTGACAGAACTGTTCTGAATCCTGACAGTGCTGGTGGTTACGGGAATCTACATGTGTGTTGAAGCCTACGGCATCCAAAAGAACAAAATCGATCATACTGGAGGTTAACTGGAAAAACTCAATGGCAGATTTTGCAGTCAGGGATTTTCCCTATATTCTTTCAATAAACACATTTTGGAAGAAACTAAAAATATGTACATGAAATGCTAAATTACACCTTTAGGTTATCAGCCCAGGCTCTCTTCCTTTCTTTTTTCTTTCTTTCTTAATTTCTTTCTTTTTCTTTTTTTCTTTTCTTTTCTTTTCTTTTTTTTTTTTTTTGAGAGGTTTTTGCTAATAGGGCGTGTGTGCTCGCCAGAAAGACAGAGAGACAGAAAGTGAGAAATCACCCCCAGGGGGGATGGCCATGCTGCAATCCCTTCTCCTCCATTCTCCTCTCGGGATCTTGGGCACGCATGCACACGTGCCCGTTGTGAGTTTAAGCCACCGGGTTCGGGACTCGAACTGTGGTCGACTACATGGGAGTCCAGCGACATGGCCATTATGCTAACTGCTGGTCCCAGGCTCTCTTCTTTTTTCAAAGATATTTTTGCAATAGGGCACATGCTGGAGAGACAGAGAGAGAGAGAGAGACAAAGAGACAGAAAGCAAGACATCACCGTCACCCCAGGGGGGCTGGTCATGCCACAATCCCTTCTCCTTGTTCTCCTCCTGGGATTTCAGGCACACACACACGTGTCCGGCATGAGTTTCAAGCCAGCAGGTCCGGGATTCGAACCTCGGTAGGCTATGTGGGAGTCCAGCACCCCACTCACTATGCCAACTGCTGGCCCCAAGGCTCTCTTCTTTTAAGAATCTAGGAAACCAAGAATTTGCTCCTTTTCTTCAAAATGTACTGGTACGAACATGGTCATTAACCAAACCGTGCCTACCAGCATATAGTGGGGCAGGACACACCGAACCCGTTCAGTTGTAAGGCCTGGCTGTGCACATACACATCCCAGGAAGAGAGTCTCTTAACATGTCAGTAATTGCAATCCATCTTTCCAACTAGGTAGCTCCGTTACATCCTCTGGGCTGTCACATGACCAAATGTCTGGGCTATGCAGACATTTATGTGTGAAACATCTGGGAAATGATCTTAACCCAATTACCTCCCAACCAGTGGTCACATGTCACCTGCACTCTGCCAAGATCAGAGTTCTTCACATACAAGGCCAATTCTCAGAGGGGAAAAAAATATCATCTCGCAAACACCTTTGGATGAGGAAATACTGAGACTTTAGAAACTTAACTCAGAATTTATCCATGTTTTAATCACTCTCTTCTCTCCTCTCCATCCATCAATTCTGTGTAATGAAGTAGTCTGTCCTACCCTATCTCTGTGTGCACTTTGAGATCTTGAACCACACATGAGAACCTACTCACAATCTTTTTCAGGGGGCATTAAAGGACAAGGAGGCCTAGGCAAGTTCCTTACTTGGCAAGAAGGGAGCAGATGGTACAGAGCAGCTGCCTCTCCTTCCTGCATCAGCCCTCCTCATCACATTTCTGTCACTTGCCCGGAGGAATAAGGCTCTTGCATCAAATCTGTAAGTAAAACACCATGGCCCCGAGTTTCATGCTTCATCTCATGCAGCTTCCAAAGAGAGGGAGAAGACTATGGGAGATAAGTGAACCCAGAAAGGTTCTTGGTCAGAGCTTTAGTTTGGGAGGTGATGACCCTTGATGTACCCTTCCCTCACTGTGATGGCTCATTTTATCTGCCAGCTAGGCTAGGCCAAGGTGTCCGGTGGTCTGTTCAACCACTAGACTAGAGGTTTCTGTGAAAGCTGCTGTGTTAAGGATGTGGTTGACAGCTACAATCCATAGATTGTAAGTAAACTACCGTACCCTCCATAATGTGGATGACCTTCATCCAGAAATGAACATCTTCAGAGTAAAGCCTGAGGCTTTCCAGGAAGAAGCAACTTGACCTCAAGACAGCAACACAGATATCCTGCCTGAGCATGCAGAGTGCTGGCCCCACTGCAGATTTCAGCCTCAAATCTGCATATCAACTCTCATCTGAATTTCCAGCCATGCAACCTGCCCTCCAGATTTCAGACTTGCCAGTGCCCACATCCCATGATCCAACTCCTTCAGATGAATCAACAGAGATATAGAGATATATATGGAGACAGGCAGATATCCAATTGCTTCTGTTTCTCTGGAGACCCTGACTATTACGCCTACAATATACCACACTGGCTGCCCCCAGTGGAACACCAGCATGCTGGGGAAGGGTCTGCTGTACAGGACGGAAAAACTGAGAAGACCCTGGCAGGGAGGGAGAGAGAGACACAGGCTCAGGGGCTGGCCAGAGCTGTCTACTGTGATTTCTGTGTTCTTTGTTGTGGTACATGTGTTGTGCAGCCTTCCTTCCAGGGTATGCCATGCAACATGGGTAGTCATGCCAGTAAACACGCCAGGCTCATTTCTATAAACGTGCTCTATGTTTCCTCATTGTATCCTCCCAAACACAACCCTCTGAGCTTGGCATTGTTATTATGAACTATAACCCCATTCCAAAGGTGAGGACAGTGATTTTTCTCAAGATGATAGGATTGCAAGTGGCAGAACTGGGGTGGAAGGAGGCCTGTCTAGATCCCGGATTTTTCATCAGCATGCTATTTCACTCCATTAAAAAAAAAATTCAGAAGTTCCCAGCAGATCTTCCCTTTCTTTCACACTGGCCAGTGCTGAGTCACATGCCTGTTCCTCCATCAGTCAGGTGCAAGGGGACGGGATGACCGTGATGGTCGCAGAATGGGAATGGGACTCCTTTCAAGACTGTCACCTCTTATTACCCCATTTACAAAACAGCTTAGGTAGGGCTTCCCCCAGGAAGCTTTCTCTGGCCTCTTCCTCAAGTCCTGGACAGGGGACCTTCCTCTGAGATGCCACAACAGCCTGTCTTTCTACTATCCTGGTCCGAACCCCATTTGGCTGTCAATGCACGTTTGTCTCTGTCTCAGCCCGGGAGCTGACGGAGACCAAGGACGTTGTCTCATTCACCATCACCGAGCCTCCACCCTGCCGGATGTGCACACATACCTATCAATCTCATTTAGATGTCGACCCTGCCTGCAGAATCCAGTTTTCCATGTCACAGAGGAAGAAACTCCTGCATTAAGAGGTTAAGTATCTGGGGCCAGCAAGTGGCATGGTGGTTGGGGGTGCTGGACTCCCACATGACCAACTGCGGTTCGAGCCCCAGACCTGGTGCCTTGCTTTCTCGCTTTTCCTCTCTTGCTCTGGTCAAATTAAAAACAAATTAATAATAATAAAAATAAAGTTCAATGGAAAAAAAAAAAAAGAGGTTAAGTAGCGTTCCTAAGATCACACAACAGTAGCGGGCAGAATTCCACCCCAGGTCAGCTGGCTCCAGATGCAGGCATACTGGAGGCATTGCCTCTCTGAATTTCCAGCCTCCCTGGGAACCTAAAAGAGGGAGTAATCCTGAGGGAGAGAGTTCAGGTGGGAAGGTCCTACAGGCTGCCTGCTGTGTGGGCACAGCTGCTGCTGGCACCAAGGAACTGATACAGCGAATACCCTCTCCCACTCACTAGTGCCAGGCTGTCCCCGTAGCTGTTCCAGCAAAACACAATAGAACATACCCTGCAAACTCCCCCCTTGCATTAGCTTGCAGTCTAGGGTGGGGAAGGAGAAAGCAAAGAGCTAAACACATAAATACACACTCCAGTGTGGTGAGCAGCACTATGAAGGGAGCTGCACTTACTGAAAATCAAACCAGTCACACTTCCAACTCTCTGGGATGATATGAAATACCCTTGTTAAATGAATTTATTTCAGTTCAAAGAAACAGATTTTATTTAGTAATATCAATTTAACGATATTTTGAACCCCCCCCCCCCAGAACAGACAAACAACAAC